AGGACTTAAAGAAAGTAAAGTCTTTTTTTTTTTTTTGTATAGTTTTCTGCTCTAATTATTAGTTTGTTTGTTCTTCTTCCTACTAGATGGTGAATCCTCCAGGCTTGGAAATTATGCTTTGTTGATATGAAATTAACTAATTCATTTATGTGTTTGTTAAATGTTTTCTGAGCCCTGGCAAATGTACCAGCCGGGTCTTGCACTCTTGGACCTCATTGTCTAGTAGTGAAAGGAAGGGATGGATGGGCAATAAAATGGTAAGCCAACAAGTGAATAACCAAGACAATTTCAATGTGGACTATTCGCTGCAATGCAAACAGCACCAGCTGGGCATGATGGCTCATGCCTGTAATCCTGACATGGCCTTCCCTGGATTGGCTTAGGAAAAACATTTCAGCACAAGCAGTGAGAGAGGCACTGACCAGGGGTTCTGTGATTGACTGTGAAGTAGAAGACTGGGTGAGAATACCATGTGACTAGGGGCTTGGGAGACTGATGCAGGGGTATATCCATGACTTCAAGACCAGCCTGGGTTACTTAGTGAGTTTGAGTCCAGCCTGGACTACAGAGTGAGACCCTGTCTTGAAAGAAAGGAATGAATGAAGGAAGGAAAGAAGGAAGGAAGGAAGGGGAGAGAGAGAAAGAGAGAGAGACAGAGAGAGAGAGAGACAGAGACACAGAGAGAGACAGATGACTCAGTGGCTAGGAGTATGTGCTACTCTTTCAGAGTACCTGAGCTTGCTTTCTAGCACCCACACTGGGTGGCTCACCACTACCTATAACTCTAGTTCCAGGGAATCTGTCACCCTCTTCTGTCCTCTACAGGTACCCATAGATACATACATTTACACAAACATAAATAAACCTGAAAAGAAGAAAGAAAGAAAGAAAGAAAGAAAGAAAGAAAAGAAAGAAAGAAAGAAAGAAAGAAAGAGGGGGAAGGAAATAAACCTGAAAAGAAGAAAGAAAGAAAGAAAGAAAAGAAAAGAAAGAAAGAAAGAAAGAAAGAGGGGGAAGGGAAGGGAAGAAGACAACGGAAGGGAAAAGAAGAGAACTCTAGTGACTTGGTAGAGAAAACTTGAGTGTGTGAGAGAGCTGAGGTTATATCACATTGGATGCCAGATCCGATTTGGAGGAATTGATATTTGTACTGAGACCGCCCCCCCCCAAGGATTAGGAGGTATCAGTTGTACAAAGAGCATGGGAAACAGAGGTCTGGGTAGGGAAAAAATGTCAACCGTGAAGACTCTTATAGCACAGAAGGGACTTGCCCATTCACTGAGAAATCGTCATTGGGAATAAAACTTAATGAACAAGAGGGGAGCAGACTGACAATGGAACTTCTAAGACTTAGAACAAAGCACTTGCAGTGACGTCTCAGAGCGGTAGGAGGCACTAAATGCCAGTTTGGGGGTGTGATACATATTTTCTTAAAGAAAAACTCCATAATTTTCACTAGACTTTCTAAAAGGTGTGCTCCTCCCATCCCCCACAACATTACTTGGTTTAGACGGGAGCATAGATCCATGCTACTAGAAAGATTAGAGAGACAAAGATGCAGTTTGGAGCTACATGCTACGTATTTGATGTATTTCTTCCAGAAAACTATTCAGGAAAAGCGTATAAATAATTATCCTTGATGGGAGGATGTGGGAGGGGGCACTTGAGACATTATGTGGGATCTCCTAGGATATAAGCAACTTTAGGTGCCCCAAACGTGCTAAAACCATACACAGAAATGTGGGGAGTAAGGCAGCAATGGGTAAATCAGCATTCAATGGCTAGAAATCAAATTTGTAAACAAATGGAAAATGAATCAGAGATACCTGAGAATTATAACAATTTAGCCTTCTCATTTATTAAAAATATGTGAAACATACTGTAAGTTTCAGGATGGCACGAAGATACCTGATACATCCCAACAAAAATGCTAAACCCAAATTCCCCTAAACCAATTTTTAGACATTTTCTCCTAAAGATTCCCTGTTTCTTTCAGCAAGTAGTAATAGGAAAGTTGAAAACTAACATGGGCCTTTGCTAACTGACTTTCAAATACCCCCTACCCCCTGCATGCTCCATACCTCTCTTGCCCAAATCACCTAGATGTCTGGAGATGATTTGGAGAGACTTGGACTTCTTAATTAACCTAAAGAGTCACATTCATCTGCAAGGTGCATTATTGTTAATTAAAACTGCGATTCTCCTTGTGCCCAGACGGCGGGCTGCTGTTGTCAGAATAATTAAATAGCATAGGATAGTTTTTATGCAAATCCCTGGCAATTAGAGTTGGCGATGAATTGGATTTGAAATCCCAGTGAAGGTCTCGGTCATAATTCCTCAGAGAGAGGTCCCAGAAGGAAGGTGGTGGTAGATTTGGATGGAGGCTATGGGCAGAACATGATGGTATATGAAAGGGGGTGAGGACCAGGCATTTGTTTCCTAAACCCTGGGAGGGCAGGGCTCAGCCTAAAATAAATGAATTATGAACATCAATGTGATGTTCAAACTTCCCTCAAGAAAAAAATAAGTCTCTCTCTAATGCAAATTGACCCTCCCCAGGGCTTCACATGTTCCGAGAGCTTGCTTCTCCACTCTTGTCTTTCTGATAGGATTTTTTTTTTCTTAGCCATGAGGTCCAATAACTCATACAACAGCTAAAACCCCTGCCAACTCTTAGATTAAACTCTTAAGGCTTCTAAAGAAACCCTTCTTGAAGGGTTGCACAAAAGACACCAAATTCTGACTAATTTGAAGAGTGGTTGGTGGTACACATTGGGTTAAATGGATTGGGCTAGCAGGTCCCAGAGGAAAGCTTAGAGAATCGGCTGAGGTCAGAGTTAGACTTAGGAGGAACTATCCAGCTGCAGTACAGATCATGGTTGGGAAAGGGTAGCCCCTAAGGGACTGGAGCAAGGCAGCAGGGGTGGGGGAGGGGGAAAGAGGAGGAGATAACTGCAGGCACATTCGTCTCCAACTCACTGGGACCTCTTATCAGGAGCTGGCTTCTGTGTATGCCTTCCCTTTGTGAGGAAGGTGATAGCTGTCAGGTATCATCAGGGGTCTCTCCACCTGGACTGAGGGAGGAGGGGCTCTTTCTGGAGGCATGGGATAGGGGTGGAAGAGACAACCCTAGTGGTCTTCAAACAAGTCTCCTTCGTATCCGGTGGACACTGCAAGATTTAGGTACGGAAAACCAGCCTTACCTCCCTGGTAAGAGAGGAAGGCAACAGCTGGACAGATTGAGAGAACAGTAGGGAGTAGGGTATCTCAGGGTGTGTGTATGAAAGGAGGCTGGGAAGGAACTAAGAGGAAATGAAAACACCAGTACACATTTACCACCACTGTAGTTGGGGGCCTAAGCATAATTTAGACTTTAAATTATTTCCTTTTTCCTCAGTTTTCTCTCTCTTCCTTTCTGTTTCAGAATGTCTCCCGCGTCTCAATCGGCCCCACAATCCCGCCTTTCAATTTATGATGCACCAATCAGGAGCTAAACCTGGTGGTTGCTAAGAGACTAGAGGAGGGAGATTTAGAGGCTTTGTCAAGGCACCCACCCAGGAAAATACCCTGAGCCTTCTGCACCCCACAGCCTAGGATGCTTCAAGTCATCTTCCACTCCTCGCCTGCACTCTCCTGTCTATCCTTAAGCCAAGAGAGTCATGCAGAAAAATGTTAGGGAGGAAAACAGGTAGAGAGCATCTTTGAAAGTATGGAAGAAATGTAACTGGATTCAAACAGATGCAAAGTGTCTGTTCTAGTTTCCCTGGGCAGGCTTAAGGTGGGTTGCTTGGAGAAATGCCTTTAGTGGCCTTTCCAAGTAAAGGGTGAGTTTGTGGTTGACAGTAAGGGTTGTGTGTGCCCATTGTCCTAATCCTCACCTAAGCTTTGTTGAGTAAAACTCTCTAAAGTCACCAGTAAGCAGGCAGAAAATCAGGGGCACATGTGGGGAACACACTGCTTAGATACTGGGGTACAAGGGAGGGATGAAAAAATTCATGTGGGAAAAAGTCTACTTTCAAGAACTGGGGTTTGAAAGGGAAATATGGGGGTTTCCAATCAGAAGATGAATCTGATCAGAGCGTTTCCTTTTTCAGATGCTTCACCATTTGTAACTTCTTTATCTTTCTTCCCTCTATGAACCCACACAGAAAAGGCTGGACATGAACACCAAAATAAATTAACTTATGGGTTAAGGAGCCCTGCTTTCATACCCTGAGTAGGCGTGGGCACAGAATTAAGTTGGGAGAGGGGTTCTGGGAGAGGTTCATGAACACACACAGGTATATGTGGTGCAGATAGTGTCTGAGATGCAAGCACATGCACAGACACATTTCACTGCGTGCCAGCTTCTATTGCAACATAGATACAGGTCCTAACAGATTGAGAGACAGATGTACACACACACACACACGCACGCACGCACGCACGCACGCACGCATGCACGCACACACACACACACAGAGGAATTAAGGTCATGTTGAAGAATAAGCTTGCAACAGACAACTCCCAAGAAGCTCCATTTTCCGTTAACTTGGTATATACCCCAGACTAAGAAATGCTCCTGAGCAGGACTTTTACCCATCCACCACCACTCTGACCTCTAAACAAAGCCAGAGAGGAGAAAGATCCAGAGGGGCTGGGAAGTTCAGACAGGAGAAAGCACTTCTGCTTTAGGCTTTATTGGCTACCTTTATTCCCTGTTTTAAGCCCTTCAGTTTTTATTCCTATCACATTTGCTCCCTACAATAGTTTCTTTCCTATTTGTCTTGTGTGCCTTGTCTTCTAGTTTGGGAAGTTTATCTTCTTTTCCCCTCATTCTCTGGCTTCTCTTGGCTTCCCCCACAAGAAGGCAGTAGAACATCTGTATGCCCTCAGGATGCTTATCCATCATTCACTGTCTCCCAGGCTAGCTATAGAAGCAGCAAAGTCTAGCATGCAATGTTTTCTTCTCTCCATTATCCTCCCACTTCTCTTTAACTCCAGACAAAGAAATCAACCACTTCATAAAAGCAGTGCGACTTTAATTCGGGTTGACAGGTGGGTAGAGAGCTAGGATTTGCCTGCAAAGGTGTCCAGATGAGAAGACTGTCTTGCAGGGAGAGAGAGGGAGGACAAGGAAGTACGGGTAGCCTGGTAGAAGAACAGGGCCAGAAGCAGGGGTGTAACCACACAGTGCAATATGGCCAGGGCTTCTGCCAGTTGCAGCATCATGTCTAGAATCTGCTGGGCCAGACATGTTGGCAGAAGTAAGACTTTGGACCTCACCAAGGTATCAAATCCCAGAACCACTCCATGGGGCCACCAGAAAATGAACCAGATCCACAGGACATTGAACCAGGGGCCTGGCCCTTTGCTCAATGCCTTCTTCATCCCCTTAGCTGCCAAAAACCCCAGTGGTAACAAGGTGAAAATGATAAAACAGATTACAGCATGTGTGGACTTCAGAGCTCCCAGGCCCCTGCTGGATACATGGGTGCAGAAGCCCTGGTAAACATCACTGGCCAGGGTGATTGGCAACCCTAACAGTGCAGCTGCTCCCCAAAGTCCCACAGTGAGCCCCAAGGTGAGGCCTGGGACCTGGCCTATATTCAATTTAGGATTCAGGCAGGCATGACACCCTATCAGCAGAGCCTGGGCAAAGGCTGAGCTGTACCAGACCCAGGAGCCCAGGTAGCACAGAGCAGAGCTATGGGCGCTGTTTATCCCTGGTGCCAGGATGGGCACCACGATGCTGAAGAGGGCACTCCCCACTGCCAGCTGTGCCAGGATGGGCCAGCTAGGGCAGATCTGCCAGTGGAAGACAGGTCTGAGAAGTGCGAAGAGGACGGCGCCACTTGCCAGCACACCCAGGACGCTAGTGACGATGAAGAAGGGTAACGAAGAGTCATTGAGCAGGTTACAGGAATGGCAGGGGGCAGCTGCGTCCACATTGTAGTCCTCAGAAAATTCATACGAAGTGTTATCTTCATAGGAAAAATCCCAGATGTAGTTCTCAAAAAAACCCTGACTTCTGTTCTTGTCTAGTGAAAAGGAAGATTCCACCTGGAGGGCACATCCAGAAGGGCCAGTCAGGGCATCCAGTACCTCAATGGCGAGGCTGGGACAGACCCAGGGCAGTCAGAGGGAGAGCAGCACAGAGGGAGAGCTTGAGTTGGAGAGCAAGCGCTATGCCTGTAGGAGGTGGCTGCAGTCGCATGCTGGAAAGGACAGAGCCGGGAAGCTGAGGAACCTGAATGGCCAGAGTCACAGAGAAGCCAGGCCAGGGATGTGTGCAGAGCTGAAGGGGCAGAAGTTCAAAAGGAAGGTGAGGAGAAGTCTTCATGGAATGGGTTGAAAGGTGAAGAGAGGAGAAAGAGCAGGGCAGAAGCAGGAGACTGAGGCAAGGAGGGAATGGGAAAGATTTTTGAAAGTTAGAACAAAGAATAAGAGGTAAAGAGAAAAGCGAAGAGCATGGAGACGAGGAGTACATAGAGGAGGCAATGGGGCAAAGAGGCAAGGCTCATGGAGCATGGTCCCCACACTCACCCGGTGCAGACAGTTCCCCATGGCACTGCAGGCTCAGAGCAGGCAGAGTAAAGGGCCGGGACACTGTTAGCAGCTGTGGTTCCAAGATAAGTGCCCAGAGCTAATGAAGGCCCTCAGGTTCTGGGCAGAGCCAGTGGGTGGGTGGGGGGTATGCTCAGGAAGCTCTACCCCACGCCTACTGCCTACTTTAAACCTCAGGCCAATATAGGGCACTGGCCTGGAGCTTCCTGTTTTGAAGTTGAGTTTGGTCAGGGTGGTCTCAGGAAAAGAACAAGGCGAGGACCACAAAGGGGGAATTTTCCCAGAGTTGGCAAAGAAGAAATCAAGGTGCTTTCCAGCAAGTGAGGACTCTTCAAATACAAGGAAGGATGAGGGGCCAGGGGTGACTTGTGAGGCAGAGTAAGGGAGGTGCTGGGAAGTAGGAGTGAACAGGCAGCTGATGACTCTCACTGCTCTCCATCCTCTTGAATGAGATCCAAGGAAAGAGTTCAAAGTTATGTTTGGGGCAAGGCAGGATAATGGTATTTGCTGTTGGCTCTCTCCAGATTGAGGGATATGCATTTAAGTGGGGGCATTTAGTGTGCATCAGAATGAGTAAGAAAATACACCTATTTATTTGCCTGCCTGGGTTGGGTATCAGTGTGCCCACACCTAGTGCTAGGTGCCAGGCGGTGCCTGGGTGTGTGCACTATCATCTTGAGGTATGGGTGCTTCAGGGTGAGCGGGAGGGAGGATTGGAGGCCTGTCAAGCCTGTATAATGACTCTCCTTCAGGGAGCATTTGGGCATTTGCCTCACTACCTATGAGCTCAACGAATGTATCTCTCACATCAAGCAGAACACATGGTCTGACACACTAAAATAGACTCTCAGAGGACATGGAACAGTATATTTTAAAGTGAGATGGTTGCCTGCTGGGTAATCACTATTTGTATTCTATTGAAGGATATACAGGTTCCAGGCCGACTTTGTTGGCCTGCCATCTTGGCAATAAGTAAAGTTTCTTTATGGGAGGAAGGGGAATTGCTATTCCTCTGGCCAGCAGAAACACTGGGTATTTGTCCAGCAGGTAGATGCCCACAATCTAAAGCCTCGTCTCCTTGGTGGCCTCTCCCCCACCTGCTTTCCAGGGTCTCTCCAATTTTGTCCCACCATCCATCTCTACATACTATTTCCTCAGTTGAGGTGATAGAGTCTGGATGTAGGAAGGGATGAATCAGAGCATGTAAGTCAGAACAATGAGATAGAGATTAGAACATGGGACACTTTCACTTGTGCAAGAAAGCATGGGATGTTTTAAGCACAGGTCTCTTCAGAAACTTCACATTCATTCAGATAGTGCTCCCTGAGGAAAAATAACCCCGCAGACAAAGGTGGGAAAAGATGGGTACTAAGTAGAAATCCTTCCATCCCACATCTCTCTCCCAGGATACCAGCTCACTTTTCAGGCTTAGCACCAGGGAGGCTAGGGAAAGTGAGGTTGGGAAGGTGTGGTGATACTCTCCTTCCTAGATGGTGGTGGTGGCAGTCTTCACCTCCAGCTGGGCAGAGGGTGGCAGTCAGTTGACTGGCTTCCAATTCAAATGCTCTCTGGGAACCACAGGACTCAGACGCTCTCTCTCCCTCACTTCCACACACAGATGCTCTTAGGAGAAACGACATGGCAAAAACACAGTACCCCTTAAGTACCAGGTGCCAAGGACACGGAACAGCCCTTTTTACACGCAGCCCAGCCAGCAGTGACAGCAGCAGAAAGGAAGCAGCCGGACCACATGGATAATCCAGATATATTGAGGATGGTCCCTCTGAGATTAGCACAGGAGAGTTAGAAAGATTATAAAGATACACGATCCCCTCCCTGCTCCCATCCCCCACCCCCACCCATAGACAGACACACACAGCACAACGGCCCCTCTCCCCCCGCCCCCCTCGTACAAATATGGCTTCTGTGTAATATGGACAGAGTGGTTCAGCTCAAAGAGGAAAAGTCATTTTCCCAAAAGCGGGTGCTGGGAGATGAGGAGCCCAATAGGCCTGGGGCCCAAGGCTCCCTTGCTGCTGTAAGAGGAGGAGGCCCTGGCTTCGGTGAGGGGCTGCCTGTAGTGCCCGGGACCCTAACCAGGTGCTGGAAGATTCACAAAGGTATTACCTGAACTGAAGGAGTGGGCAGGCCTGCTGGAATGCAGCTGTCCCATTTTGCACACCTGTTGTCAGAGCAGGGAGGACATGTCTGTGTGGAGGAGGGGGAGAGTGATGCCGAGAGCATCCCAGGTCTGAGGGACAGGCCAGCCAGGATAGTGAGGGTGAGCAATCTCATCTGCACAGCAACTAGCTTGGCCATAAAAAGGAAGACAGTAAACCAAAAGCAGGAATGGGACCCAGTCCTCTACTCACTGGGTACAGATGATGGGGATCCAGGGTCAGTGCCAGGGAGAGGCTTGAGGGGTGCATAGCAAAGGCTGTGGCCCTGACTCCATGGCTTGGAGATGGGAAGTTCAGGGAAGGGTGTGGATGCATGGTGTTTCAGGGAGGGATAAAATGCACTGCTGGGTAAACCACATCATGGAACTTCTTTCTCCGAGGTGGGCATTGAAGGTGGTTTGGAAAAGACCAGGGTGGAACAACATCCCAGGTGAGGTACAAACCTTGACTAGGCACCCTCCATTCCCAAACCCCTCCTCATGTGTCCCATGCCCTGACCATCCACCCAGGATCCCTGGTCCTTGGTCCTTCTCCTCAATCCCTTTGCTTCTTGTTCACACAACCACACATGTATACGTACATCCATGCATGCGTACACACTCACAAACACACACACGCACACACACACACACAAACACATGCACAGAGTTCACATTATTCCCTTAGTTTGGGCAGGAAACAGCTCAGTGCAGTGAAGCTCCTTTTAGTAATTTTGTTGTCATGTCTGCCTGGCTGCTGAGGGGGAGGGACTGAGGGCTGGCATAGGGAACAGGAGAGGGCACAGGGTGACACAGGGTGGAGGGGTAGTTGCCGAGCAATGCCATGAGAGGAGCGGTTGCCGTGCAACAGTCCAGGGTCTTGGGTAAGAGTGAGGGGCCCCTCGGCGGCAGGGGAAGCAAACACCAGTCAGGCCCAGGAGTGGCACCTTTCTTCCCACAGCTGCTGGAGCTATGATTGGCAGCTGAGTCCTGCTGTCCCCTCAGGGCAGTTTCTATGAAAAGAGCCTCCCTTCCTTCATTGTGTGTGGGGGGCATCCTCTCTCTCTCTCAATCTAGTCTTTCTAGGAGGACATGTGTCCACCCCGGGAGGAAGCCCTTGGTTGCTCTGTGGCTGCATGCCATCTTCAGGTCACATCCCCTTGAGGACTCTCTGTTCACCTCCTTATTACGCAATGAAAAGAGGGGTGTCAGTGTGACACCCATTTTCCTGTCTGTAGCTGGACATGTGTGCCTAGCAAAGCCACTAGCCCCTGATCCCATTCTGGGGTTCCTGGAGACTTCTGGAAAACTGCTCTGCGGTAGAAGATGAAGGGAAGGCTGGGCCAAGCCCTCACCTGCAAGCCCGCCCTGCTCCTCACTCAACCCTCCACCTTCTTTCTCACACTCCAGGTTCTTTGCTCTCCTCACCCCACGGCTCCTGCCTCTCCAGCCTTGGAGACGGATTTGATTTGGGATTGTTACAAAAATAATAATAACCCAAACGCAGAGAAGCCACGGAAAGGGCTGAGGGTGACCCTCCCCTCCCCCCGCCCTCCCCCCCATTCCAAACCGAGTACAAAACCGCACCCAAAGCAGACATTCTGTACAGGGGGCTGGGTGGGCTGGGGAGCAAGCGGGAGGGGCGGCCCTGGGGTCGCTCTGTACAAGTCCGGGTTGGTGACAGCCCAGCAGTCCCCACGGGGCCCCTGGGGGGCGTAGGAGGTGGGCAGGTGCCCCTAGATGAAATATTCCTTCTTGTCATCCCCGCCTGACTGCCCGCCTTCTGCGTTGATGATGGCCGTGTCCGCATCTGGGGCATCATCGGAGCCCTTTGCTTCGTGTGTCAGGTAGGTTCCTGTACAGAGATAGAGGCTCTTCTTTCAGGAGCTTCTAAGCCTCTGAAGTCCACCCTGCCCACTTTCCTGCCAACCCACTCACACATTGCTCATCTAATCTTTCTCCTGCCTGAAGCCCATCTTCTCTAATTTGCATTTTGTTGCCAACATCCCTCACCTGACCACACCCCCATGAATAATGAATCCTACCCTTAACTAAAGTCTAATCTATAATGCAGGAAAGACAGAGGCACCTGTGTGTGTGTGTGTGTGTGTGTGTGTGTGTGTGTGTGTGTGTGTGTGTGTGCGCGCCCACGCAATGCAGTTGAGCTATGGCTCAGGTATGGCCAGCCTAGGCAGCTAGGCTGCTGGTTATAAGTAATAACAGAGTAGGACAAAGGTAAAGTGAAACAAAGTACAGAGGAAAGGAAAGAAAGGGGTGGGGAGGAGAGTAAGGAGATCAAAGAAGGGAAAAGAGGCAAACTAGATGGGCCAAAAGACAGGACAAGAAAGGGGGTAGAGGCTGGTCTGGAAGCTGTGGGTCTCTCTGCAGAGTCTTCAAGGCAGAGCAGCAAGAGCAGCTGACTGAGTGGGTAGGTCTGACTGTACTTGGATGATCCCCAAGCGATCAGGCTTTACTGCAGGGCTGCTGGTGCTGTCATCACAGGGTTGGCATCGCAGGGGCTGGCTGCCTCTTTCCCTTCTCAAACACACAAGGGGCTGAATGAGTCTGCAGGGCCCTTCCTGTGGCCTCCTTACTGCCTGTCCCTGACTGATCTTTGCATCCACCCAAGTCCTCCTGATGCCTCTGACCTTTGTGCCGGATCAAATAGTGGCCAAGGAAGATGAGCAGGATGAGCAACAGGAAGACGATGAAAGCCACAATCCCTCCAATGATGGCGTGGTAGGTACTGGAGGATGAGGGCACTGGACTGGGGTCTGCAGGGAAGATTTGGAAACAATCATAATTGAAGAAGACATCTCACATACTTATTTGAGCCTGGGTAGTCTCACCCAGAAGAGGACAGGCATTAATAACAGGAGAACAAAGTAACAGTATGCAATGCAAGGGGCATGTCTTGGTTTGTGCTCAGATGTGTCTCGCTGTGCCTGGAGCTTAGTAATTGTTAAAGCAAATGGATACATTCATGAGGCAATAAATAAACAGCTCACACTCAACCTCCAGGTTGATTTCTTAGCATCAAAGGTTGACCTTGATCAGAGATCATTATTTTGATGCATGTTATCAGTCTCAAAACCTTCCCTTCTTTTCTCCCCCTCTTCTTTGCTCCTCTCTCCCTCCCTACTCCTATCAGTGTTTTGGTGTTTCTTGCCTATCTCCTATGCCTTCACACCACCATGTCTTCTTGGTATTGTGAACTAGCTCCTTTAAGGGGCTTCTTTGGCTGTTTGGCCATTGCTACATGATCAGATAGGGAAGAAATAGTGAAAAGCTGATAGACCCAAGAATTTAGCAGCTACATATCACTGTGCAAAAAATACTAGAAGTGCCACTCTGTATAGGACTCTTAAGTTTCCATATGGAGTAAAGTTATAGTACCACCTTCTCCAGAATGAACAAGGTCTCAGTCCCCACCCCAACATCCCTCAGCCCAGCCTCGGCAGGAGTTCTGTGTCTTTGGCCCATACAACTTCTAGAGCCGATCACACAGCTTTTGAGATCCTTGTTTCCAGGTGTTTTATTTTTTCTTCCTTTAGTTACCCAGCCTACACCCTCTTGAACATATATGATCTTTTTCTTCAGTATTTTCTTCTTGGCAAGGAAGATGGGTGATCCAGTAAAACACAAGTCTTCTGGCCTGTCCCAGTATGGAGGCCTGGAATTTCATTTTTATTTTGATTCCATCCAAAGGTTTGTTGGTCTCTCCCATGGTGAAGCTGCCATTAGATATGGAGAATTTATCCTCTAGAGCAGTCATGGACCAATCCCATGGCACAGGCTAGACCAGGAGTATTAAGGAAAGCTCAAGCCATGGTCAGAGACCCATGTATCTGAGGACAGGTGCACAGGGCCAGGATGATTCTGATGCCTTTACGTTTATATTAGCCATTACTGCAACTGTCCCACCCCTGGGAGAGCTACAGTTTTTACTTTGCCTGAGCTTGACTCTTGCTGCCTCTTTGACTCTTTTACATTTTTGTCTTCTCCACCTTATGTTTCCTCAAGCTTGACTGGGCCAGTTTTTTAGTTCCTTGTCTCTCTATGCCTTATTTGAAAAGAAAACATTTGTGCTTTGGTTTCTTTATGCTCTACTTGGGAGGGAGAAGAGGATGGACCAAGAGTTCCACAATGGGGCAGATGTGATGGCACAACTGTGAGGAAGCTGAGTGAACTTATCAGTGTCTTACTCCCAGGGAACACAGGAGACATGGGCCACTTTGGAAATTACTCCTGGATAATTATTTCAAATCTATGAAGCAAAAGTTCCTTGGAAAAACAGTCTTCCACTGTCAAAATGACCTCCGGAATTGTTGATAACCAGGCTCTGTCTTTAGGTAAAAGTACCTTTCATTTTAACCCTGGCCAAATTTTCACTTAGGTTATTCCTGAAGAGCATGCAGTAACTCCTTCAACCACCAGGCGTCAGCACAGACAGCAGACACACTCAGCCTACTCCTGCTTGGCTTTTCAGCCCAGGGCAGAAGGATCAACATGATACCAACTGTAGGGCACATGAACTTTCTCTCACTGCCAATCACCCTCAGGAATGGTTTGAGAGATCTGGGGGCAGAGTCCTGACCTCAGTGCTTTGTCCTTGCTCCTGGAATCTTACAATAGGCCTGTTGTGCTGAGGAGCTCCCACATGCTGAGGTTGGCTCCTGGAGGCAATCACTCATGTAGACATTCTGATCCCCTGAACTTGGGGCTGTGTACCTCACGTCCTGCTTTACTGAGTAGTTCAACACTTCCTTTTTTCTGAGGGAAGGTTTGAAGACTTTTTGACAGGACCTCAATGCCATTGGGGTCTTCAAGAAAAGTAAAAGAAAATTCTTAGTATCCTTAAAACCACCTCTATCCAAGCTTTTCACTTCTATTAAAACTGGGTTTGGTTGTCACTTTGTATGAGTGCGTGTGTTTGTTTCTTTTCTGTTTGGACCGAGTATAATGTATAACAGGGTCCTTAGGAAAGAAACTGATAGCAGCACATGCATCTCATGTCTAGTTTAGGAGAAGGAACCCTGAGAACAGCTCTTCAGCAAGGGGCATACATGTACACGTGACCTCCAGAGACTCAGGGGCCTCTGAATCCAAGTTGTTATTCCCCCTATCAGGTGATAGAAGCTGGTTCCAGCAGAGTCACTGGCATAGACAACGGCAGTGAAAGCTCACCCTCCCATTGATTTACCATTAGTGCACATTCCAGAGTGGGCCCAGGGCCCAAGTGCACTGCTCTGCAGTGGGAGGTATTTTCCATTCACTCCACTTCTAGTCAGGATGGGGGTTGCCATGGGGAGAGTAAGAGATGGCCAGGGAAGGGAGGTGCTGGAGGAGAGGGCCTGGGGAGGCTCACCGTTGACATTGAGGGTGAAGTACGCTGTGTAGCTGCCCATGTTGCTGATGGCTGTGCAGCCGTAGGTGCCACTGTCACTCTTGTTGAGGAAAGGGAAGATGAGGGCGCTCTCCTGGGTCATCTTCAGCGGTGGCTCACTGCCTTCCTTCACCCATAGGTACTGCTGGGGGCTGTCAAAGTAGAAAGATTAGATGTGTTCATGGTGGCCTAGACCAGGGGTCTAGAGGAACTAAAAATAATGCAGAGCAGGGAAGTCAGAGATTGCATGATGAAGCTCAAGATGCTATATGGGCCAGAGACGCTGCACTGGGCAGAGACTCGGGGTGGGTGGGGTGTGGAGGTATCAATCTTGGGTTCATTTTGGAGAAGCTAGAGATGGATGTCCTGATTCATATCTTACTGGAACTTTGTTCCTGATGGGGAACTGAAGGAGCTTAGTTAGTTAGCACCTCTGCTACTTTGCAGTAGAAACAAAGGCAAGGCAGTGTTGGACAGTTAGGGAGTGGGAGGTAGGGCTCAGCTGGTACCCAGGAGAAGGGACACAGTGCAATGAGGATGATAATCTGAGATAATGGGGGACGGAGGGGGGATAGTTATCAGAGGCCAGCAGGTGGCTCTTCTTACACTGGATTGCCACGGCCCTCACAGTGTAGCGACAGCTTCTGGCCTTCACGGGGAAGTGCAGGATCTGGCCTAATCAATGCTGTGGGTGTGTCTGCAGAGAAGGAAATGATGTCAGCACAAAACTCCCCACTTTCCTTAGGAGAGCTCCAAAATCTTGGAATAACCTACTAACAAACTACAGATTCTACCCTGAGAAGTCTCAGGGGCTCAAGAGACTGTGAACAAAGGCCTTTCTCCTCCTAGCTCTGGAGAACATAGACTACATCTGGTATTGAATGTGTGAACAACCTGTTACCTTGAAACCTGAGTGATGGGATTCCAACAAGTCTGTCCTGGGTGGGCCTACAGGATGTCTCAGCAGAGCTGAGGAAAATCCATGGTTTATTCATGCCTAGCAAACTGTCTGGCACATAGACAGGACCTAATACATATTTTTAAATGAACAAAGAAAGTGAACTTGACACTGAGTTCACAACCTCTTAGTTCTGTCTACTCTGCAAGGGAGCTCAGTACTGAAAGCAGTGCTCGAACACAAAACATCCCTTTGAACCATCAGTCCAAACACGAAATGAGAGCATTGAAACAGCAAGAGGTGGGGGTCATATTTTGGCTGCAAAAGAAGGGCCTGAGACAATATATGGGCTCTGTGAAGGAATAATGACATCTGTCCTTGACGCCAAAGGGCTGCTTAGGAGGCTGGGTCCAGATGGTGGCTTAGAACAATACAAGCAGATGCTGGTTTGAGACTGCAGATAGAGGCTGCACTTTCCCTAAGGACAGAGCCAACCTTAACAACCAGCTAATGAACATGCTTCAGTCAAATCATACAGTATGAAGAGAGTCAGGCCAGGTGAGAGAATGGGTTTTCCAGGGCTCCATAGCCAATACAGACTTCTAGCACAGCACCTGGAATGTAGCATTTGTTGACTGGCTGCTGGTCACAGTTGGTCCAAAAGGGACCCTGAAGAGTAATATTCAGATGGTCTGGTATCTGAGAGAGGATTCTTTGGGGTTTCAATGGAATAGGGTCTCCTTCAGTCCTGGCTAGGGCTCAAGCCTAAGAGCTCAGGGCTCAGAGGAATTGCCCAAAGCTCAGGGCTTCATACTCAGAACTAGTAACTAGAGAAATGCCTTACAGCACTCTGAGATTTGCAGGGTTCCTTCATGTATCTTTATGATAATTCAGTGAAATAAACCAGAGTCACAGAGAAAATAAATGAGTTAGTCAAGGTGTTACAAGCAAAGTGTGGGCATTGGCTAGAAGGACTGTCATCTGCCTGTAACTTGTCAGCCAAATGGACCGTGGTACTGTTCAAAAATAACGGGTATCAAAGTTTGAATAAAGGGGCCAGCCATGGACCAAATGACATTGAAGTTAGGAAGATAATCAGCCAGGGTCTGATTATTATTAAAAGCTCTACCTGTTTTTGGAAATTGTCTAACCTTTTGGTAAATTAGGACAAGAAGGTGCATTGTTTCATACTTCTCTGTCTTCTGCTTCTGCAATTCAATTATGCTTTTCTCTTTGGCTCTGCCTCACCAGAAAGTACCTTTTGAAAATTTCAAGATTTCCTCAGATGAGAGATTTGCAAGTGCTCCAGATTCCTCAGACATTCCATATCTGTACTAAAGACAGACCCCACAGAAAGGACGGAGATGCCTGGAGAAAGGTTGGAGCAGTGACAGTGACAATAGCCACTTCAGGTCCGAATCCCGAGAAGAAGCAGTGAACAAATAGAAGAGTGACGGAGAAGAAGAAGACCTGCGAGGATGATTTGATGACAGAGAGAATTGTATTTTCCTTGTACTCACAGGTCCTGACATCACAGAAAGTTGGATTGAGAAGAGGCCTTAATGATGGCCATGTTCTGCTCTCATTTCAGAAACAGCCAAACTCAGTGCAGAGGCTGTCTTCACATCACACAGTAAGTGGTGAAAGTGCAGGCTAGAAACTACATCCCAGGACTCTGGATTTGCCACAGTTATGACTGTAATTTGCAGTCTAGCTTCATTTTACCAGTGTAGCCCAGAAGTTGGTAAACCTACCCCTTGGGCCAAATCCTGCCAGCTGCGTGCTTTTGTAAATAAAGTTTTATTGGAACATGGCCGAGCTCATTTGTTTGCACATTGTCTATGGCTGCTCTCCTGGCAGCTCAAGCAGTCAAGTCACTGAAAAAGAGATCACAGCTCTCTAAGCCTGCAGTGTTTATGACTACAGGGCTTGCCATCTCTACCCTCATTTTTTGCCTTTTTACTTATCTGTGTGCAGTCACCTGTGCTTTTCTTTTCCTCACTCCCCACCTCATACCTGGTCCTTTGCACCCCAAAGCCCATGACATACATAAAACTTCAATGCGCTGAGAGGTGGATCTGTCAGCTCCCTTTAGAGATTCGTGGTTCACAGAGCACACGATGTTTGCTCCATCATCTTCCCGGGTAACCTGGAATGACACTGAGCTGCTCACAGTGAAGGTTTTCCCGTTGGGATCTTCCTGTATTCGGGTTTGTTCTCCTGGAATGCAGAAACAGATGCACACGTGCACACGTGCGTGTGTGCGTGCACACACACACACACACACACACACACACACACCGAATGAGTCCTAAGATCCAGTTACTATCTGGGCCTCACATATGGTGAGTTATATTAGATAAGTAAGAAAAATTTGAAATATTTTAATATAAGCAAGCCCACATGTCCACAAAGTATCTGCCACTCACAGTCTCCCTCTATACCATCTTCCATGCCCATATACAGACATACTCCACTGCCTCTCTTCCCAGTACCACCCCTTCCTGGAACCTCAAGGCAGGAGCTACTCACCATGTAATTCTTGATCACCCTTCCTCCAGGTGAGCTGGGCTGCAGGTTTGCTCCCAGAAGACTGACAGTTTAGAGTGGCTGTGTCCTTTTCCCGTAATGATGACTTATAACCAGTGATAATGGGCTTCTGTGGGATTCCTGCCATGGATAGGGGGTGGCCAGGATAGGAAGGAGAGGCACCATGAGGTCATACTTCAAGCTCTCCCTGTGAAGATGTCCTCTATAAGGACCAGGACATCTGGGATCTACTTTGCTTTAGAAAGATGGGTAGATGCATAGAGATCCATCTTTCTCTTTAGTTTACTCCTTGGGGACCAGAAGGGAATACCAAGAAGAGAAAGTGTGGTAGTGTGTGTGTGTGTGTGTGTGTGTGTTGTGAGGGGTTATACCATATGTAAGGCATGATACATGAATAGATATCCTAGAGCACAAGTAGTTGGCCATGCAAATAGCACAAGGCTCAGGAGAGCAAAGAAGGAAACTGGAATACAGGATGAAGGTGGCTGCATGCAAAAATATGGGGAACATAACCTGGAAATTATTATTAGACATTGCATACAGGTCTCATGTTTCCCTGTGTGATTTCTGGAGCTGAATGAAATGATCATTCTTTGCTATAAATTAGGAAGTTTATGCTTAAAGAAAGAGGTTTATCCCAGATAAAACAGTAAGTAGAGTGGAAATGATCAGAACTCAGTTCTCTTTTATCTTTAGGGAAACATGTGCAGAACTTTCCCAGTAGGGTTGGAGACCTGCCTGGTTCCAGGAAGCTTTGGGGACCAACCTAGGGAGGTTTGTTTGCAAAGCAGCATGCTGTGGAGACACAGGGGTTTGAGAGGCTCACCGAGCACAGTGACGAGGGACTTGGCAGTTCGCACAGGCATAGTGAAGATGGAGCAGGTGTACTCGCCCTCGTCTGCCAGGGCCACATTGCTGATGCTGATACTGAGCTCGTGGGGAGTGGAGCTAACCAGTTGAATCCGATTATCTCGAAGGGCTGGGGAAATCAGGAGAATTGGAAGCCAGGTTTCTACCAGAATCTTTCCTGTCTACCTTCCAAACCCAGGTTAGGATCTTTGAGGGGAAGGGATGCGTATGGGGACTGTGTGGGGGACAAAAATATTCCTAATGATTTGAACAGTCATTAATTCATTCAGTGAATTTCTGAGCCACTGGAAACAATAACAAGAGAGAAATACTATAGGCCATATCTTATGTGCTTGCTTAGAAGCCTGGGAGAACTTGGTACCAGCTGCTTATAAGGGCTTCTTCAGGGTGAAGCTACTCCCGGGCCCTATAAGATTACACATGACCAGGTAAAACTTGTACAACTGAAGTTTCTTTGCAGACAGTTGAGGAGCCCATGGCTTCTTGCTTTTTAAAATACCACATCTCTGTGTTTCTAAGTCTTTGCTACAGGGACAATTCCTCTCAGGCTCTGCAGTACCTTTCCCTAGCCCATGGTTCCCAAGGAGAGAGGTAACTCATGGGATACTACCTCTCTTCTCCCCAAAGTAGAGAGTTTGCTGGGCAGGATTAGACCACTGCAGAGACGAGTCCTCATGGTCTTTCACTTGACATTTGAGCACCACGGTGCCACCAGCCACCACTGTTTCATCAGATGTCCAGGGCTGGCTATCTGCAGAGGTAGAGTAGAGTTAGTTTCCTGAGGACCCTGAGGAAGGAAGTCTACCCATTGCTGGGCCACAGTCCACTTCAGCTAACTCAGGCTATCCAAGACTGCTCTCTGTGTATTCTCAAGCCTTCATGAGTGAAAGAACAGAGATGGCGGTGGTAGTGGAGGGGAGACAGACCTTATCTTCTCTTGCTTTAAATACAGAGAAAACATCACTTGTTGAGTATCTGCTGAATGAGCAGGCACTGAAAGGAATACAGGCACCCAGAGCTGCACATGCTATTCCACATGTGTCTTTTTGGATATGGTTCTGTCAGTCATCTTTGAGAACACACATACGTATTTGTCATCCTATGTTTTGCCTTCCTGTCATCACCTAGTATAAGAGCAAAATAGGAAAAACGATTGTCACTAATAATCCCAAAACTGAAATGGGGAAAAAGCTAACCTGACCCGTGGTTTATATATTCATTTACACAAAAACAGCAAAACAAAATATAAAATATTAAAAACAGAAGTATTTTGGTATACTTTTAAGTTACCCTAACAATAACTTTAACCTAATCATAAAATAAAATCCCTTACTAGGTTATTATTATTATTACTAGCTATTGTTGTTGAGACAAGGTTTCACTCTATAGTACTGACTGGCTAGCCTGGTACTTGCTGTGTAGCCCAAGGCGGCCTTGAATTTGTCACAGTGCTCCTGCCTCAGCTTTCCAAGTGCTGGGATTATAGGTGTGCACCACCTACTTGTTTCCTTTATTATTAGGCATTCCCACCTCTGAGAATACAAACCCAATCACTCTGGTATCATTTTAAAGAGTGAAAGACTGAAAATTTCCCTTTAATGTACTTTTGAAATCACATCATCTAATCCCTCTCTCCCCAGTGAAATGAAAACAACAAACCAAAATGGGGGGAGGGGCAGCTGAGAATGTAGCTTAGTCGCTAGAATACTTGTCTAGCACGCCTGAAGCCTTGGATTGGATCCCTAGCACCACATGAACTAGGCGTGGTAGAACACACGTGTAATGAGTTTACATCTGTGCTCCACCTGAAGTAGAGGCAGGTGGATCAGAAGTTCTAGGATACCCTTGGCTTAATAGTGAGTTTGAGGCCAGCCTGAACTATATGCACCCTATCTCAAAAAATAAAAACGTAAAAAAAAAAAAAGAAAAAGAAAAAGAAAATAAAGAAGGAAGGAAGGGAGGAAGGAGAAAAGAAAGGACTTATAAGGTGTCTTCTGGATAAACCAGTTGAATGCAAGTGCACTTTCCTTAGGCCTGGCTGTGAATCTCTCCAATACTGACATCTGTTCCCTGCCCCCCGTTCAGTAATGTGCCAAGCTCCCCGCAGCATGACTCTGATTCCTGATATTGATTCCCTCATCTTCAGACTGGCTTTCCATGACCCAACAGCAGTGACCTCCACAGAACTAATCAAAAATAAACACCTTCCTGCTCTGATTCTGAAACATCCACAGTCTGTTCTAAAGCACTGAATTCCTTAACCGGCATTATTCATGGCTCAATAGGAAATCAGGAAACACATTTCTACATGCCTCTACTGAGCACTATCAAAACAATCTGATGCTCCCTTTGTCAGACCTTACTCCTACCCTGTCTGCTTATTCCAGACTTTCTTAGTCACCAGCTACATGTTCGAGGAATGTACTGGGAGTGCTCCTAGCAGAGGGAAGGCCCTGAGGAGGGAAGGCCCTGAGGAGGGGAGGTGTCCTGGAAATGATGCCAAGCAAGACACACCTTTTGGGTTGGTCATTTCTAAATTGGACTATGAAGCCTGGTGGTTAGTTGTACTTCCTAGAATTGTAAAAATTGGAACTGAGGGAGACCCTCGCTAAGGCCCATGGAAACCAATTCTTTCATTTTGTAGATGTGGGCAGCAAAGCAATAGAGGTGAAGCAGCACCCAAGATCATCCCCCTAACTGTCCTCAGCACTGGAGCCCTGTTCTGTTCTCAACAAAGTGCTGTTTTCACTGGAATGTTCCTCAAAGAACATGGAATTTGGAAGTGATCTTTTCTCAAAATTTCTCAATGAAAGGTTTCAGAGGCCCTTCGCCTGTGATAGTCGTGTACCAGTTTCCCACTGGCAATCCCTCCTTGGCTCCAACTGAAGAACTCTTCCTCGACAGTGCTCCTCTGGGACCTCTTGTCCTGGGCAATCCATTCCTTTGGAGGCATCTTATTTTTGGAAAGAGGTGTAAGGTTACAGAGGTCTCTGTACCAGAGTGAGGGCAGGAGTGGGTGCACGGTAATGTGGTGGCACAGAACTAAGAGCTAAATGTCAAATGGGGAGGAGAAAGCTGTGTAGTAATGAGTGGAGGGAGAACATGGAGTGGAGGGACCATGAGTGGGGGATGATGTGAGGATGAGTGGGGGATCTGAAGGACATCGAGATGAAGGGCCTGGTTTCTCACCTTGACTGGCCAGCATGTCAGGGCTGCTCCAGACTGTGGAGCTGAGGGCCTCGTCCAGTGGAGCCAGAGTTCCCAGCTCCAAATCCTGCTCCTGCCAGTAGCCTGGGGAGAGAGTCTCCATCAAGGATGAGCCCTGTGTATATTGCTACCATTTGGCTCTACACTTTCATTGTGGGGGTGTGGGAGGGGCTAGTCCCCCATGGAAAGTACTTTCAACAGGACACCTAAGAGAGAGTGAGACATTAACTGGAGTTCTGAAAAAGGAAATGATTTCACCCCTGATGGGACAAATTAAGGTAGAATGCTGTTTTATCTGTAAATCACATAATGTCAGAGCAAAAAGATCTTGGAGATCATCCAGTCCAGTCTTCCCGTCTCACAGACGGGCCAATGAAGCCCCAGAAAGGCTGAGAGTGAGTTTGTGGGACTCACTGTAGAAAAATGAAATACTGAACAAAAATTATTTCAATTACGTATTCAGGAATTTATTGTTATACTATCTTTTCTACTCATAAAACTACATGTTTAAACATTAGGAAATATTTTCACATTTACTCCTTTTAGTAAAGTTATTGAAAAGTGTGTGTATTATCATGACTATCTTGCCAAATGGAAGCAAAATGAAATGACTTGCCTAAGGTCATACAAATTGAATGCAGAGATTAGAAATGAAATGCTTGATTTCAACTCCAGTGCTCTTTGCTCCAAGTCTAATAAGACCATCCTCATTGAAGAAAGATAAGAGTTAGGGTTGGAAGATGCATAATTTCCCAGAGTGCCTCCTTTTCTGGGGCCTCAGATTCTCCTGTTTTCATACTATGCTCGCTCCCTTTATCTCACTGGCTCTGCACTTTCCTCCGGTGCGATAAAAATCTCTTTCCTTTTCAAACAAGCGGTAGTCACCACCTCTCTTGGCACTAGGTCACTTTTATAGTCTTTTGTGAGCTACAGCAGTGTCAGGATCATACTACCTCAACCACAGAAAGAGAGAGCAGCGGGACAAAGAAACCAGCCAAGCATCTTTTCAAGATCTCCCGCCAGAGCCCTAGTGTAGCCAATCACAAGCGCAAAATTCAGTGAGATCATCAGCTGCTGAGCAGACTGGAGCTGCTGCTGTTCCTGGGGTAGCAGTTCAGAGAGAACTTTGTCAGTGGTCCCAGCAGCTCCAGTCAGGGGGAGGACAGGTAGTGGGGGAGGGGGGAGGATAAGGAGGCAGAACGGTGGGACCAAGAGAGGTCAGATTTTCTGATTCCGAAACTAAAACGGGATATGGACTTAAAGTCTCCCGACAGGATCAGAGAGAGAGGACTGGTGAATCAGGAGAAAAAAGGGAAAGGGGACAACGGAGGGAAAAGAGGTGGGTACGGGAGAACGACGGTAACCGAGAAAGAGAGAGCAACGGAGAGGAAGGAAGAGAGAGAAGGGGAAACAGGAAGGAGTTCTAGTATCAGATGAAAGCTCCGGGAGAAACCTTGAGTGGCAGGCTGGCCTTGGGGTACTCCACTGCTCCTGACCTATGTTTCCCGGGAGATTGGAGACTTTACTCTGTTCTGCTCAACAGAGGAGAGGGAGTGCTATAGAGAGACCAGGAACACCTCTAACAGGTACTGAGAGGTACGAAGGAAAGCAGATTTAGAGAAGAGTTGATGAAGACAGGCAAGAAGGTGGGAGGTGAAAGAAGCAAGGCGGGCAGGCAGGGGGCAGGGCGGTGAACCCCAGCAGAGAGGCCATCCCAGGGTGCACAGCGCTGATTCTGCAGCTTCTTTCTGTGGACACTAAGGATGGAGGATGGAAGTTGGTGAGTCTTTCATATTATTTTCCAGGCTGGATGTTTTGGGGTTGCTGTGTCAACATCCAGTTGGAAGCCTTATTGGTTGTGCTCAGGCATGGGATGGTGGGGGGAAAGAGAGAAGCCAGCTAGGGGTCTATGCACCCTCACACAGCATGGGCACCCACCACACAGTATAAGCCCTGCACAGGCTGAAGAAACAGCCCCCTCAGACTTCAGTGCAGGACTTTTACTTCGTAGACTGGCTTTTCACCCATGATTTCATTTTAATCTCAAAACAACTGCTAGCGATAGGCAGCCAGATAACACTTTGTTGTCATTGTTTTGTTTTGTTATGCTTTGAGACAGGGTCTTCCTGTCGCCCCCAGCTGGCCTGGAACTGGCTATGTAGACCAGGCTGGCCTCCATCTCACTGAGATCTCTTGAGCCTCTGCCTCAAGAGTGCTGGGATTGAAGGCATGAGCCACCATGCCCAACAGATATAATCACATTTAATGAAGAGGTTCAGAGAGGTTCATTGGCTTACCTAAAGGAACCCAAAGAGCACAGCTCTCAAGAACCCTTTCTGTCTCAGTGGGGCTCTCAAGTTTCAATAATTCCTGTGTCCTGGACTGCTTCAACATATTGCACTGTGGTTTATTATTTTTTTGCTTATCGTCCTCTTCATCTAAACTTGGAGCTGGTTAAATGCAGAAGGCTTACCATTTCATCTTGTAGCTTTAGTACTAGACCCCCAGGGGGGTCTCAGTAAATATAACTAGCTCTGGTAATTT